TTTAAAGAATCCTACAACTAGTTCAACTATTGCCTACAGTGACTTCTGTGTAAAAGCAGGTGAATATAGATTTCATGATGAGTACTCTTTCCTCTCTTGGAATGGCTGTATGTATGAGGAGTGTACAAATTTCAAAATTTGTTATGTGTGAGTTTAAACAAATGCAAGAATCAACATTATATTTTAAGTCTACTTTTTTAAATGAATGATGTGTAGCATCTTTCTCCGAGGGTGCTGCTAAGCAATACCCCTAATAGGTTGGAGGCATTATTGTAGAACCTCCCCCAAATGGGTCCATTCACCCAAATATCAGAAATCAATCACTGACAATGTGGTAGTAGAACAAAGTAGGCCTTTATTGCAAACTGTGGAAAGGAGCTGGGCATCTATTGCTAATTTCTAACCTTTCACCCACAAGAATACAGAATCCCAAACACAGCTGCTTTTCCAGATACATTACCATAGAGCTGGATCAGAAGTGGGATGTAAACCTATGTACATGTGGGATGTTGGCACTAGAAAGCGCCGTCTTTCTTGCTATGGCACAGCACCGGCCCTGAAACATTATCTTATTGAAGAATTATTTCTAATGCTGGCCTGCTCTCTCGTCAATATTTTTTATACTGCCACTAATATAATTTAGTTGTGCTTCAGGGTCTCGAAACAGCCTAAGCATAAGTTGATGTCATTGTAACTTGAATAAATAATAAGTACTGGAAAAAAAGATATTGCTTAGTAAAAAAAAAAAAAAGAAAAAAAGCAATTTTTTTTCTCCAGCTTCTTGACAGCTGCACTGGTTTAAAAAGTACTTTGTTCCATCCCAATTCTCCATGTTTTGATTGTATCAGTTGAGTTGTTCTTTTAGTGATTTTCATTCTGAAATGTGTCAGACACTCATCCTTGATTCAGTTTTTCCTGTATATACTCAGGAGTGGAAAGGACTCTGAAATGTATAGGAGGGGATGTCACTGTTGCTTGATTTTCTGTGTGATTACACTTTGTGATTGTTTTTCCCAGGACAATGTGTAATTTCCCAGCAGACTATTTTTCAGAAGAACTGCACTCCTAGGTTTTGCACAGTGAAAGATGCCCACTTATTGAAACGTGAACTTGAATTTTTTTAAAAACAAACATGAAATGCTCAGGCTTACCTGTAAAGTAGTTACAAATATTTATTTTTCAGAAATCAAAATAACTATATTTCGAGCATAACTCAAGATTTCTAGAATAAAGGAATATTTTATTCCATTACACTGATCAGAATCTGGTGCATCACTGGCATAAAAGCATAGTTTTCTCCACTAAAAACTGGTGTTGGCTGAGACGAGCTATAGTGATGTCTAACACCTGAAGCAGGATTTTTCTAAATTGTTGATTGATAACATAAGTCAATTTGTCCACAGAAAAAGCCAGACAGCTCTAATGCTTCATGCTAACCACATTGATGGGCATAAATTATAATATACCTTGTGAGAATACAGTTAAGAGCTTCCCTGGTATTAAGAACTTTTACTAATACAGAGATATTGGCAAACCTCCAGGTTTATCAACAGCAAGTTTTCTGATCAGATTTGATGAAGACATTGAGAGTTAAACTTCTAGACCAGAACATTTTGCAGAAATGTACTATGCTGAAATTTGTCCTTGAATGTAAGCAATTTTTTAAAGTGAAAACTACAAATTGATTGTAATTCTTTGTATTATGTAATTTTATCTCTCCACAGCCAGTATGCTTTTTGATTAATGAAGTTGATAAATGGAAGAACTCTAATAGCCTTAAATTAGATAAAATCTGGGATTATCAAGAAACAAAAGCCATTAGTTCTATTTCTGCTTTCATAGGGTGAAACAGTGTTGTGTTACCTGCTTGCCAGTAATGGAAGTTCATAGATAGGAGACCTTCTAATATCTCATAATATGGACTTTGAATCCTTACTTAAGAAAAAAACAGCCAATATATAGTCAGGAATATAAGATAGAGTCTTGAGTCATTTTCAAAGTCAGAATGTACGTGTTACAAGAGTAGGCACATAGTGCATTACCACTAAAGATGTTGGTTAAGATGGTAGGGATCTGATACCCTTAGCAGTAAATCCACTTAAATACATGCAGAACTATACAGCTGCACATGCTTAACAGACATGAGTCTAATCATGCATCTATGTTACCCATTCTTCTATACACAGGCTGTAATGGAATAATACTCAAAGTCATTCCTTAACCATTTTAAGAAGGTGGGTGATTTCCCTGTGCCCCATAATCTCAGGGATTTACTTAAAACAAAATCAAAAGAATTTATATTAGCAATTTTTCATGAACATTTTAATCTATAAGCCAGTTATCATAGACTTAATAGCTTGTCACATAAACATATAGGCACACCAGGTAACATTTTGAAAAACAAAACTTTTATAACTGCTCTCTGAAAAATCTAAGTATTTAAAGTGATCAGTTCTTTAGAATTACATTCTGTTCTTAATAACCAGAATTAAAGATGTTTTCAATTAGAAACTGCAGTTTATTGTTTAGCTTTTAGCTCTATTTGCAATGGATGCAATAGGTCTGTTGGAATTTAGATGCGGAATTCTTTGTTAGAATTATAAACATCTGTTTACTTCACATAACACTGTGGAACCACATACACTTGAACTCTTTAGGCCTCAGCCTTGTTCATTAGGACAACAACTGTGACTAATAATGCAATAAGATCATTAGACTTTAGTGATGTTGACATTTGTACCAACAGCAGTCTATTATGTTAGTATTTCACGATTATAACAATTTACGCGACTTCACATCTTGACAGTGCCTTTAAGAAAAGACTTTTTATTGAAAAGGCAGATATACAGAGAGAAGGAGAAACAGAGAAAGCTTCAGCTGCTAGGCCAACGCTCTGGGCCCACTGACAGCACCTTTTAATAGAATCCAAATAGCCTAATCAGTGCTCATCTCTACAAAATGAGAGAAGTTCTCAGAGATTCCCATGAGGCCTCACTGGGAGCACCAATAAACAAATCTGAAACTTTTGAGGTTTCCAATGAGAGTTAAATGACTGTGCAATAAGAACACAAATGATCCCACAAATTCACAATTAGAAGACATCTTGACCAATAAACATAAGCACTAGTACACATTAGCCATTTTTGAAACTTAACCAACAATCATTGTAACCAGGCATATACTCATTCACTTCAGCAGAACGTGCAGATTGTGTTTCTCTTTGTAGCACCGCTCCTGGTAAATACACAGGACACTATCGCAACAAATCTGGCACAGTTTTATAGCCTCACAAGGTACTTGCATGATCTAAATCATCACAAATGACCATCATGTCATCCAAGTTCTGTCTCACTCTTTGCGAGTTCCAGGATCCTACAGGAAGTCCCAAAGCCAGGAGACTTGGTTTAGAACTTTGAAGAATTCAGAGGACCAAGTAAGTTAATCAAAAAGTATATTTTAACCGAGTATGCCAACACACACTTTGGGCCAGATCTGACCAGAGCTAGGACAACACTAGAAACCGGTAGTTAACTTTCAAACAGCAATTATTGTCAAACACGTCAGAACAGAGAAACGGAATCATTTAGTCTCGTTCGTACACGCACATTAATACACAAGCAATAAAGCAGCAACAGAATTAACGGCGCCTTATCAAGCTAACAACCTATCAAAGAGAAACACCTGACCTGGAGGGGATTTGACTCCACTCCCTAAGTGCAAGGAAAAGAAACACCTGAACCGGAGGGGGACTCACTCGCTCCCTTAGGCTTACAGAAAACACCTGAGCCGGAGGGGATTCACCTGCTCCCTTAGGCTTACAAAAAAGAACCACCTGAAGCACCTGAACCGGAGGGGACTCACCCGCTCCCTTAGGTGTAAAGAAACCAAAATTTAATTTAGGGAGGACCCCGCCACGGTCCCAATTTAGGTTATTCAATTAGGTAAGGGGCTGTCTCACAGTCCCTTACACTTTAGAATTTAGTGGCCTGATTCAAAATTCAGCAAACTGATTTAATATTGAATTATTGGCCACAAACACACATAACACATCAATTCAAAGATAAAACAAAGCCAATTAGCCAGTCAGCCAGCAAAGAGAAACAAAGTGAGGTGTGACTCACCACACACGCCCTTCAAATCAGCCGTGACGACCTTGGGGACCCCAGACGAGCCCATCAGCACCACAGAGACTCCGGAAGGAGACCCTGAGGCCGAAACCTGCAGGCTTTTTATACAGTCAACCAGCCAATCAGAACTACAGTCAACCAGCCAATCAGAATCACAGCCAACCACCCAATCAGAATCACAGTCAATCAGCCAATCAGAATCACAGTCAATCAGCCAATCAGAATCACAGTCAATCAGCCAATCAGAATCACAGTCAATCAGCCAATCAGAATCACAGTCAATCAGCCAATCAGAATCACAGTTAATCAGCCAATCAGAATCACAGTCAGCCAGCCAATCAGAATCACAATCAATCAGCCAATCAGACTTGCAGTTAACAAGCCAATCAGAATTACAGTTTTTCATGACCTCATTTGCATAGAGGCAATGGCTATGGGGACTCACTTTATGTGAGTAAATACTATCTAAAAGGCACATCCGATTTTTTTTTCCTTGAAAAATACTCTGTCGTTGTGACTTACCATATGCAGGCTGCGAGGCCTAGGAGCTTGCTCACTCTACTTAGCCAAGCAGGATTCTGAGGCTCCTCAGCTGAACCCTCACCTTGAAACCACTCGGGTCCCAGATGGGCACCGGTTTGTGTCCTCACTGCTTAGCTTCCTGTCCAGCTCCCCGCTTGTGGCCTGGGGAAGCCGTAGAGGATGGCCCAACGCCTTCAGACAGTGCACACACCGACACCTGAAGGAAGTTCTTCACAGCCCGGCGTTGCAGAGAGTTGGGGAGTGAACCAGCAGATAGATGGAAGATCTTCCTCTCTGTATCTTCTCTCTGTGCATATGTCTTTCTAATAGAAGTAAAAGGAAATCTTTGTTATACTCACCACTTCGGCAGCACATATACTAAAATTGGAACAATACAGAGATTAGCATGGTTCCTGTGCAAGAATGACATGCAAATTCGTGAGGCATTCTATATGTTTTTTTGGAGACGCTTTTGCACACCCTAGCGTCACATTGATACCTTTGTTAGAAGTTTGATAACATCATGGAGATGAAAATACACTAATTTTTTTTCTCTCAGCCCATGATGGACTGAACCTAACGGGGTATATAATGGAAACACAGCAGGAATAAGTGTGTTCGTAGGTGGTCCCGTGCATGCAGTACAAGAATGGACTCAGCGAAATGGCAGATAGTCTCCTGTATTGTTGGGAGACAGCTCACTGGCAGTATGGTGGACTTCTGAGCATACATGAAGACACCTGTTGTAAGACTGGAGGGAAGAACAAGTGCCCATGTGAAAGATGTAGAATGTCCTGGTTCCTGGCCTACAACTGGCCTAGCTGTGGCCACTGTGGCCATTTGGGAGTGAACCAGTGAATGCAAGATCTATCTGTACCACTATCTCTCTGTCTCTCTGTAACTCTGCCTCGCAAATCAATACATGTCTTTTTTTTTTTTTCATTTTTTTCCCTTAATTTTGACAATCTTTACATAGTTAATTAGGGCACAAAGGTTCAAGGGCTACAGAAAAGTGGGTAAGACTATTATTTTCACATTGTTTTTTTTTTTTTCCTGTATCTGGGACAAAGGGGGAGATAAAGGGAGAAGCACAACCCAGCCTCCCACCCATCACAGGTCCCTGCTGTGGGTATGCTCCGAAGGTCTTGCTCAAGTGGTTTTGATAGTTCAACAGTTATGAATTGCCACCAATCTTGCCATTCCAAGCGCGACGAGGTCGCTAAAGAATCCACTGGGCAAACGGACGCTCTAAGGTGCACTATGTCAATGCATGTCTTTGAAATGATTTTTTAAATGCCAATCTCACAACTAAAAAATAAAAATTTCCATCTTTTTTTTTAATGATTCATTCTCAGTCTGTGTGGCAAAAGAGTAAGTGAACTTTTAAAAAATATATGCTTTGGGGGCCGCTGTTGAGTCTCAGCAAGTGAAACCACCGCTTGCAACATCAGCACTCCATATGGGTTCCAGTTCATGTGTGACCCGCTCCACTTGCAATTCATTTTCTTGTTAAGGAAAAGCAATAGAGGATGGCACTAGTGTCCAGACCTCGGCCACCCACTTGAGAGACCTGGATGGAGCTCCTGGTGCAGCCTGTTCTGCCATCTGGACGTGAATTGCTGGATAGAAGACCTTCCTGTGTCTCTCCATCTCTGTAACTCTGACTTTTAAAGTAAACAAATAAATCTGTCAAAAAATAAGCTTTGTAAAACATTTGAATTATATAAAGAGTTCTAAAATTCATGGTTTTAATTGATTCTTCTAGTTGGAAAAAGTTCATGTGCAAACGTTGTTCATTGCATATATGTTCAAAGCAGAATAATTATTAAGTCTGTGTGCATTTTGAATCCTTAATTTTATAAAGTGAATGCATGTATATCTATATAAATGCAATAAACATGTAAGCAGAGTGTTAACAATAACTCAGGAAGGTATATTTCATGTCTTTTTATAATTTAATACATATTATATAGTATTTCATTTATTGTTTTACTGATGTCATATGGTAAATATATACCTATGTTTTGATCAAGTCTATTTTAAAAGAAACTCTTTCTTAAAGATTGATTTATTTTCATTGAAAAGTCAGATTGACAGAGGAACGGAAGAAAAAAGAAAAATCTTCCATTCACTGGTTCATTCTCAGAAGCCAGGAGCCAGAAGCTTCTTCTTGGTCTCCCATGCAGGTGCAGGGTCCCAAGGCTTAGGGGCATTCTTCATTCTTTTCCTAGGCTACAAGCAGGGAGCTTGATGGGAAATGGAACAGCCAGGACATGAACCGGTGACCATATGGGGTCTCAGTGTTTGGAAGTGGAAGATTTGCCAATTTAACCATGCATCAGTCCCTAAAGGAAATTTTTAATTATCATCAACTGAAACACCAGATTTTACAAATAATCTAAAAATTCACCAAAATGTTAACATTTACAATTGTGCCTTCAATGAGGATTTAATTATAGAAAAAATACCTTTGATGAACTTTTAGAAATGAATTTAAAATACAATACTCAAGGTAGCATTTCATGAACTACATTAAAAATGTCTCAGGTTAAACTTTTCTCTGTGCTTTCTTTTCTACTAATGTTCAAACTATTTTCTGAGAGTGTTGCTTGTTTCAATACTTGAAAAGCAAAACAGCATTGCCAAAACTTAGGTGATCTTAAAAATCTAATATCTATTATAATGATAAATGCTTTACTTCAGGATAAATCAGAAATAGCCCAGGTTACAGGGTGCAAGCTTCCTCGTTCTTTTCAATATCCTTTCTGTGTTTTGAGTTAGCTTTTTCTGCGACTGAGCATGGCATGTAGAAAGTCAAGAAAAATGACTGGCTTCTTTTTGAAAGCTCTCAACTACTTCTAGTTGCCAATTCCAGCCAGCAATTTAAACATTAAATGATGAAAGGATTTTGAAATTCATCATGATTAGATAAGTCATTTTCTTCAGGATGGGAGAGCTGTATCTTGGGGCTAAAATCTATGGAAATAACATTATTGAAATAGGTTGCTTGAGACTATTTTCTGAATGATTGTAACCTTTGAAATAAGTCTTTTGCCCCAGTTAGATAAACACCACACTTTTCATGGTCTTCAGTAGCATTTTATAGTGAAAAGTAGTGACTTGAAAGGGCTCACATTATCTGAAAGATGCCACATGTAACACTGACTGGCAGGCATTCAAGAATGGCAGACAGCCAATAAATCACTCAGGACTGTGTGTCGTTTAGTAAGTATTTAAAAATGTACCCCATCTCTCTGCACAGAGAACATTTCAAAGTCAAGTAGTTTGCTCTGTTTGAAATTACACATCAACCTGGATATCAGGATATGCAGAGAAACTAATTGATTTGGCAGTGCTTTCTTAGAAATTAGTTAGAAACTTACAGCAGTGCGTATTGCGCTATACATTTGGTTAACAAGCCAGTCAAGTTGTTAATATCAAAGGTCTGTTTCAGGCCTCATTTATGTGTGAAGGAATTTGTGAAATTGCATGCATAGAAGAAATTATTTTTAATTGTCCTGAGCTGTTGGAAAGCTTAGTATTTGTTCATGTTGAAATAAGCATTTAAAATTAAACATCAAAAAGCAAAACAAAACAATAGATTTTGCAAGAACTGGAAGCAAATATGCTGAGGTAGATACATATTCCACTTCAAGAAAGGAATTCTCCCTGGATAGTGGAAGAACTATTACACATCAACCTTCAACTGTCACCCTCTTCACGGTTGTGTCAAGTGCAGGAGCTGTCAGCTGCACAGTTAGCTCTTTCTAGGAAAGCTGGCATCCAAACACTGATGGAGGCATAGGTTTGGCCATTTAAACCCCTCCTGGGATGATTATTTTAAATTTTTTATTTTATTTATCTGAAAATTTTTATTGAAAAGTCAGGTATACAGAGAGGAGGAGAAACAGAAAGATCTTCCATTCGTTCATTGACTTCCCAAGTGGCCGAAATGACCAGAGCTGAGCTAATGTGAAGCCAGGAATCTGGAGCCTCTTCTGAGGCTCCCATGAGAGCATAGGGTTCCAAGGCTTTGGACCATCCTGGACTGCTTTGCCAGGCCACAAGCAGGGAGCTGGATGGAAAACAGGGATGCTGGGAATAGAACTGGTGCCCATAAGGGATCCTGGAGTGTTCAAGATGAGGATTTTAGCCACTAGGTTATCACGCAGGACCCAGTATACCACAGATTTTTAATGCCATAATTCGGCTGAGAAGATGAATTTTTTCTTATTAATACCAAAGTAGAAAATAAGCGCTTGTGCAAATAATGCAGAAATTATTTAAATTCAGTTTATATTATAGCATTTTTTCCTGATATGGAAATCAAACATTATATCATGGTTCTGGGTTTTATATTAAATTAATACTTCACATTTTTCTTATCATCAGTATTACATATCTGGAACCTCCCTCTTCACTAAGTACTGATATTAATGACCATGTAGCATGTGGGGATAGGAGAGAGGATAATAAAATTGTGTGCTGTTTATGTCTCCTCATTTGTATTATAATTAATAATATTGATCGTCTACTATCTCTTACTTAAGCAAAATATTGTAATACTCATTTTGGAAGCATTATGTAAAATGGAAGAATTTAATATGTTGCAATGATAGAAAAAGTGACTTTAATTTTCATTTAAACATTATTGTTTAATTTTAAAAACTGTGTATTTATCTACAGATAATCACAATGAACACGTAGTTACCATTATCGATGCATATTGTAAGAACTAAAGCAGCGAAGGAAATAGAGGAGTATTATCAGCATTATGAAAATGCGTATTCTCTTTAGGAATTCCAGTTAGAGTGAATGTGCTAAAATGATTCAACACACATGGAGCCCATAAACTCTGTGATTATTTTAAAAAGTAGTAAAAAAAAATTTTCTGTGTACAAGCCATTTCCATAATGATCTTGTGTAATGAAAGCATTTGAAATAGTGAATACGGAATTACATTAGGGAACACAATTACTATAGAATACATATAATAAAATATAATGGCCTTTTTTTTCAGAAACATGCATTTCAGTAGTAATTTTTGAACTTAAATAACATACTCATTTTTTTCTTGAGGTAAATGTAACACATTAATTCTTTCTTAACTCTTACCTTAAGAAAGTTAACTCTTTCTTACCTTAAAAGGCAGAGTGTATGCAGGAGGAAGCTGGACGTTACACAACATGTAAATTTATTAAACTGTAGCAGGAGACTTCAAAATGTTCGTAGATGAGCCAGTGTGCTGTCACATCAAGCTAATACTCCATCAGTGGCACTGGTACCAATATGGGTGTCGCTTCCCGTCCCAGCTGTTCCACTTCCAATCCAGCCCCTTGGCACCGGCCTGAGAAAACCATCGAGGGTGGCACTCTGTTTCTCCCTCTGTAGTAACTCTAACTTGGAAGTAACATATATGTTTTTTAAACAGACACACAAGAATCATGGAGAATGGAAT